CGTCTCTCTGTTGGTCTTTCCGCCACGGGCAAGGCTTTCGTTCAAACGGCCGACGGCCATCCTGCACAGACGGGCCGGGTATCATGTCCCTCCATTGACGACCAACAAGTACATACCTGGCGCGTTCAGAACGATATGGAAGATGGAAAGACAGGATTGGAAAGCATGGGTACGTCCTATACTAGAATTATTGCGGCGGCGAGCAGGCCTCGCTGTTCCGGCAGCCAAGTATGACATAACACGAGCATCACGCACACCAAACCATGCGTAATCCTTTACGAGAAGAGCTCCTATCCTGTAGCTTGATAGTTTAGTAGTAAGTACTCATAGATGAGCGAAGATATATGTCAAGCGGCCCTTGCGCAAGTTCGATGACTACCCGCCATGTGGCTCGGCGAATCCAGGCTTCAAAACGGCTGCAGGCCAGCACATGTCGAATAAGACTGTGCAGAGATATGACGGTTATTACCAAGGTAGTGCCGCGTTTCTCAGTAACTGCAACAGCGTATTTTAGAGGACATCTGAGGAATTAGAATTACGGTCATCATTCGAGACTCGAGGCCCCGATTACTTTCTCGGGGGGTCTAGCCATCTCTTCCTTCAGCCATTACAACCAGGTCAATCCCAGGTCAATCCCAGGTCATGCCAGCACAGCCCGGCCGGTCTCTTCTTGCCTGAGAGCGAGATATCCGGTCCCCTGGCATGGCAGCCGCTCGAGAACCGACGAGGTGCTCCGGGGCCCCGAGTGTCGAGGCTTTTCCGCTGCTCTTATCCGGTCCAACCAATTTCCTGTTCATGCATGTCTGGACTGTGGGAGGCCGCTGAATTCTCCATCGTTTGAGAAAATCATGGCTAAAGATAGGTAACACAGATGAAGCACACAGCTACAGGCGCCTCGTCGACGTCGATCCAACTGCCCCAAATGTAGGCATGGGTTGGGGCTGAGAGAACACGCTCAACGTGCATGCGTGGTGCATCTTTCTTTTCTCGTTCCTCTTTTGAAGTCCCTTCGTCCCCTCCAAGTTGGACAAGACATGCCCACTGTCACTCATAGTCATTTACAGTCCAGACACAGGCGACCTCATCGGCTCAAGCATCATGCTCTCAAGACTATGCCCACCTTTTCTCGTGCACACCCCCAGCATCCGCAGCCAACTTCAGCTCTTACCTATCCCTAGCATGTGTATCGATCCTTGTTTGATAATGATGCATCCTGCATCGAATACCTTGGCCGCCTGCCTGCGTCCTCACCTCGCCGCAGCGGGTTCTGATGGGGCCGGACATGGCGATCCGGCTGCGGGGCACTGGACGAAACAAAGACGCGGGCATATTCCCTGTCGAATTCCTCGGGCGCGGAGGTGTCAGACGGCCGAGGTGCTGCAGAAGCAAGTCGTCTGAATAATGGGCTGCAAGACACTGGCGGCCTTCCTTGGCAAGGCGCAGAAGGAGTGACTGGTTTGGTGCATCAGCGGGATAGCGACGCGAAAGACTACGACGCCAAACGGAATCTGTCAGGTTTTCGCCTCATTTCTCTCTTTTTTTTTCTTCATTGGGTAGCAGGACATGATGTGCGTGCTCATTGAAGTGTGATCCGAGCAGCGGCGAAACGTGGAGTGCGAACCAGCTCAGCTCCCCAAGTCTCCGGCTTTCAGCCAGCCCAGGAAGCGAGAAAACGACCACGGTCCCCTGCTCAGTGCACTTTAAGGGTAAAGCAGGTCGCAAAAAAATTCCAGATGAACAACAGGGATCAGGGTCGGGCCGGAGCCGAAACCCGCGACAACGAGACGAGGTCGGCTGGGGCGTGTGGAGGAGGGCGGCGAGAGCTGTGTACGCTCTATGGGGTATGCGTCGTGACAATGGAAAGAGTGTGTCGAGTGAGTCAAGTACAGCTCAATGCGTGGAGGCCGATAAATTCGTAAGAAGACTGTGGTTGTTGCCTGTTGCGTTGATGCAGACAAGTGATTGGTACGACGAATCGTCCTGGCCACGGAGCCGTCCAGATGGCGTATGAGATATTATGAGAGACGATATGCGACGCTGTCTATTCGCGTTCATATGGCTCGACGACGGTTTTCTATTGATGCTTGTTTCCTTTTGCCTGACACCAGCGTATATTTTGTAGGCGTACGGATTCGTTGTCTATGCCTTGATTTGGATGGTACCATCATGAGACATGCACATTGTGCATGCATTGTAAATATCCGTTATATGCCAGGCATCATCACTTATACATGTGAGATATATTATCGGTGTCTGGGGGTGCTATCTGGCATGACAGTCTTTCACCAGCGTGGCACGTGGCTGCGTGGCAGGAAGTGGTTTAGGTGGACGCTTCTCTATAAACCGGTAGCTTTCGGCACCGATCATACCAGACTTGTAGGCTACATGTTGCGGCCATGATACTGTCAGAGAGGACAGTCCTCCATGATATGATGGACCAGACTCGTCGACTTGTCACTGGAGGATACGGGGAGTCGTGGCCCAGACTTTGCCTGAGTAGCCCGCCAGAAAATAGACGACAGGCCCCGAATGCCAGGATGCACCAATGACGGCATAGACAGCAAGTTTGACTAATGTTGTCATGTGTTGAGGGTCGCATTTGATGGTGGCTCGAAGGAGAGCGAGTTCTAAAAGTGTAATGTGTGGGAAGACTGCCTTTCGACTCTGAATGGTGGCCGGCTAGACTCGGTGTGGCAGCCATGACAGTTCGCTGATCATGATTGGCCGAGATGTGACAGCCTTTAAGCGCCCGGTGTAAAGCCACACGGCATGGGCTCTATTAGTTCCAGCAGACTCAATCAGGTTGCAACCTCACGTTGCAGGCGAGCGGGATGGCGGGATGTCGGGTTGGGAGGAACAGGTCAGTGGTCACGTCAACAGCAGTCTGTAGATAGGCACATAGGGTAACGCAACCCGCCTATGTGCAAGTACCAGAATCAATTGGTGTGAATCACAAGGCCGAGGAATGTACTTAGCATGTACAATATTTGGACAATACAGATTTCTTTGCGAAATGTTTGTGTAACAGAGACTGACTGGTTGCATTGAGGTGGCGCCAAGAGGAATAGACAAACTGGCAAGTGACTGCGGAATCGGCACTGTATTTGATGCATAAAACGGGCATCACCGCGAATCGTGCATACCAGTATTAGGTGGCAGGGCTCTGCATTGTGCATAACGCTGCAGATTGAGATCTGCGAATGTGGGCGAGAGGATGAGTAAGTTGGGCGGCGCGAGTCGCGGCAAAGCTGTCATGTATCGTTTTGTGTGTTGTGTTGTTTTGGGTCTTTGTACGGCGCTCTCGCTGCATTCTTTCTTTTTGACGCGTCCCCCGGCAAAGGTGAGACAGGACCTATGACAATGATGCTATGCCGCGGGGGAGGAGCGGGGAGGCCACATGTCTCAGCCCGGATCGCGAGTCGCTGCGCGCGCATTGAGTGAGAGAGCTTGTTGTTTGCGCGGAATATCATGCAACATAATGCCAGGATGGGCCATGGATGGATATCGAGGGCGGCTGCCAAGGGCTGTGGAGAGCAGAAGAAGAAGAAAAAGAAGAAGAAGTGGGAATAAACAATTGGGCGGGATGGGCGGCTCGCGTGTTGCTCAATAGATTCAGTTGGCCAATGAGAGTCTGAGAGGCAAGATGGTGGGTATCGTCAGGTACATATATGATATGGCAGGGAGGGACGGATATATTTAGCTAGTGCCAGCGGGAAATGAAAGGGCCTAGCGTGCCACTTGTGGTGGGTTGAACTTGCTGGTGTAGGCTTGCTGGTAGGTGGTAGCTCATTGCTATTATTAATGTTGCTTTGAATCGAAGCCGGCATGTGGGCGAACTGGTGAGGGAGCTCTGTGTACTGGTCAGTGACTCAGTGGTAAAGAGGCTTTGCCTACAAGTAGTATGTACAACCTTTGTTGTGGGGAGCTTCATGGCTGTTGATGTTGTGCTGAGACTTGTACACGTCCATTTCCCCTGAGGCTTCGGTAGGCATGGCGGCCCGGACCCCAGGCTGGCGGTTGCCATCTGTCTGACCAAAGTCGACCGACTCTGTCTGCGGCAACAATGACCGTCTGACATGCAAGGCACGGTTGAGTTGAGGGGTCGGTCGGCGCAGCGCTCAGGCTGATGAAGCTTGGGCGGGGGAGCCGAGCAGTCGATAGGAGACTGGGCAGGCTGGGGTCTAGGCAAGGCTGGACCTTGCCAGCGACGGGCTCAGCCAAATTGCCTTGGTGGTTGATGGATCAGGGCAAAGGATAGTGCCGCACGGGCGGGTGGGAGCCGAAGCAGCAGAAGTCGAGGTCTCAGGAGTTGGTGTGTGAAACATGGGCTGCGTGGAGACGCGACGATCACTGCCTGCGTCGTGTTTTGGATGAGAGCGATTACTCGGGGTCTTGTGATACGAAATGTAGCTTTTGGGAAAATAGATTGATAGAGTTGAGATGGAACGGGTTGCACCGAGTAGATGAGCTGGTTTCGGAATCGAAGTGCCGTGTGCGTCTGGGAGATAAATTAGCTCGCCAGTCTACGTTGATGGCAACGGGAAGCATAATGGTCAGGAGCATGCATGGGCTGTACTTGGTTGCCTTTTGCTTAGTCCGGCTAGTTGACAATAGAGACATGAAGATGCAGAGACGAAGCAGCGACAGCCGTAGAAGAGGAGACTCTGTTTGCTCAATCATTACGGCTGCCGGCTGGCAAGATGAAAGCAGTGGCGAGATACAGGGTAAATCAACATGACTGAGAAACCCCAACAGCGGGCGTCTACCAGCATACAGGCACCTCACGGGAGAGACGAGACTGCCGCTTGGTCCTACTTAGTCGGGTACCCAACCACAGAGAAAAAAAGATCAAAGAATAATCATGTGGGCATTGCTGTGTCTTTCGTGCTTGGATAGATGCGTCCTACGTGCGGCATTATCATCTGAAGCAGCGTGTGACGTGTGACCAAGGATAGAAGCATGAACAGGTGGACAACCGCGCGTTCGGGCAAGGCGACGGCTGGCCCGGAGAGGAAACGGAGACGGAAACGGAGGAGTACAAGTTTATGCACCACATTTAATATATACAGGGTTATGCAGATACACAATGTAATTCATGGGGTGAAGCAGAAGCGGACAAACGGCGGTAAATGCGCTGCGAGGCAAATGAGAAGGCCACTTGAATAACTACATTTTATGAAAAAAAAAAAAAAAAAAAAAGAGTGTCACGAGGCTCCAATGGCGATCCACCGAGGTGCGTGGAGGTGCGTGCAGGACCCTGAGGTGCAGAGACTTTGCGCTAAATATCAATAAGAGGCTTCCTTCCCATAACTATTATTTATGGTTGGCATGCAGCATGTTATTCAGGGCTTCGGCCGTGGCGAACTACGAGTAGTAAGAAAGTGGTGTGCCCCCTAATGCATGACAGGATA